TTACCTACTAAATATTAGAGGTTAGGACCAATATGTGGAACTTCAAGTTGAGTAATGAAAAGAGTTTTTGAGTTTCTAATGATGAGGGTACCTTTTCTAGTTTTTTAAGACTAGTCAATAGGAAAGTCCTATGGTTAGACCTAGGCTACTAATTAGACCCTATGGTTAGACCTAGGCTACTAAAGAAGTTTCTAGACCTCAACCAAAAGTGAGGTCAACAACTGTCATTGTTCTGTTTCAAACAATTTAACTAAACAGGGGCAAAATGGTCATTTTTCCAGAAACAACTGCCTCGCGCAGCTGTTTTCACACAGCTGCAACAAACAACCAGGCAGCTTCCTACGGCAGCTTCCTGGGGCAGTGCAACTGCAGTTGAAAAACTGGAAAGTTGCAGCTGCGCCAAACAAAGCCTTAGTATTGTATTCTATTTAGGGTCTGTTTGGGGTAGCTGCAGCTTATCCAGCTTATGCTGATAAGCAGCTTATTCTGATAATCTGCTGATATCCAGCTGATCCGGATAAGCTGACGGACTGTTTGGTTAGTGCGTTTTGAGAACAGCTGATTCCAGATAAATGAATAATCTGCCCCTGTTCTGGATAAGTTGTTTAGCTGTTTGGTTCGTACGTTTTTTAAATAACTTATTTGCAAATTTTTTTACAAAAATCAATATTGTTTTCACATCGAGCTACATGACCCCATAATTAACACAAAATCAGCTTAAGAAGCACTGCTAAACTCAGCTTAAATAAAAAAATCATAAGAACACATGAAGCATTGAATGAACGAACTCACAATTCGAACATCAGCAGCAGAAAAGATAATACTAGGTGTTCCATGGCGTTCCATGGATCGAGTAATTAATCTTATCTTCCTTGTTCAAAAAATAGATAAAATTCAATACTTCGAATACAAAGAAAGTGAACCTAAATTATTCAGTCATTGCAATAAACATACGGTAATACAAACAGAGAAATCCCTCACCAAATAAAACAAGATCACCGTCCTGGAGTGCAGGAATCAGGCGGCCAAAGGGCTGCACGCATAACAAAAATCACATAAATAACAAGATCATAAATCAAAGCCTGCAGTTAAATAGTGAATTCCAGTCTTCCATTTTGTACTAATGCCTTAAAAGGAGAAATAGAAGAAGTGTCAACATCGGAGAGAGGTGTTAGAGAAAAAATCAAGAAGAGGTTGAGATTTGCCATGGATCTAACACCGCCGCAGCTCACACTCTTCTCCATTCTCGATCGGTAGATGCAAGGGTCTGTTCCTTTGATCCAACACCAGTCGCGACTGTCTGCGAGGATTTTGAACAGGAGGGAGGAAGGAGAAACCACAGCTGTTTGCGAGGGTTTCGGAGAGGATGGTCGATCATTTTGATCGCGAGACAGAAGGGATCGCGTGAGACACGGCCGAGAGAGACGAGGGCAGCGGGGTAACGTTGAGGGTAGGTGGGTAAAATGGGGGTTGGAAACGTTGATCGCGGGGTTATACCAGCGATCACGTTTTCCTGAAATTAGAAACGCTGTTTTAGGATAATCAGTAAAAATGTGAAAATCAAACGGTACGACGGCGTTTTCAAAAACGCCGCCGCACTTATAAGCTGTCCCAAACGGGGTCTTAATCTTTTAGCTAGTTGCAGTTTTCATTGGTTATAGTTTGGATGGAGCTTTAATTCTTTCTCTACTTCATTCCTTCTTGTTGGATGATATAATTTGTCCTTGTTGAAGTTATTGAGGCTTAGTTGTGGTGATTTGGTTTTCTGCAAAGGCTTCAGCTGAGATTTTCACTGTTATGGATAAAAACTATGTTAGTTATTGTTTGTTCTCCTGCTTTCGGATTGATCATATTTCTCTTCTTTGTTTTGTTAGTATTGGGTTGATTTGAAGCTAAGCCTAATTGCAAAGTCATTTCTTTTTGGGACGAATCTCTTTACTTTTCTAAAGCCTTTGTTGTAGTGTATTTTTTGGTCTTTTTTGTTGCACATTTGGTTGGCCTTACTTGTCGAATAAGAGTTGGGATCTTATGAAGTTTGTGCTAGAAAAAATACATATTGCATTAAATGGCCTCTTTCCTCTATTTGTTAAAGCTTTCTACCTTTGATGGTTTGTTGGTGATGTCATTTCTCTGTTATGGCTTTCATGTTAGAGATAGAGATATATTGCTAAAAATATTTTCTTTGTTTATTTTGTCTTTAATGATTTGTTCTGTAATTTCCTTTTTTTTAAGTTCCTTCTTCATATTTGAGAAATTTTTGACATTTATTTTTGCATTAATATTAAAGTTGGGGGTGACTCTCATTTTCCCCAAAATAATCATCAATTATACAAGTAAAAAAAAAAAAAGTTATTGCTACACAACCACACTTAGGGGTAACGAACCGAACACGAACGAACAAAGCTTATGTTCGTGTTCGGTTTGTTTGAAATTTAATTTGTTTGAAATAAGCTCGTGTTTGAAATTGTTCGTGAAGTCACTTGTACATGTTCTTTTCGTGTTCTTTTCTTAAAATACTAGCCAAACACAAGCTGTTTGCGAACGATGAGCCAGTTTGACATCCCTAATATTAATATATATAAATAATATATTATATTAATTATATAACTTATATTATATAAATATATAATATTTATATTAGTATATTACTAATATAGTATATTAATATATTATTATTATTAATTTATTATATATTATAATTTATAAAATTTAATTTTTTAAAATATTATAAATTTTTTATATTTAATTATTTTAAATTATTTTATATTTTGAGCAAAAACGATTCGAACACGAACGAACGCATCACTGTTCGTGGTTGGTTCGTTTGACTAAACCAAAGAAAAAAATTTTTTCATGTTTGTCTGTTTACTTATCGAACGAATCAAACACGAACTCATTGACAAACCGAATAGTAACTGTTCTCTAACAATGAGTTTTTTTTATAGTCTTAACCACACTTTAAGCAAACATACACTTTTAACAGGCATACAACCGCACCAACGTAATAATCTCTCCATTATTGCTCTCACAATCCTTTTGACATCAACTTATTTTTCCTACTCTTTTAGCTAATGAACTTTGTGTCAAATTGAATTCTTCCAAAACTTCTCCACATCATTCCATTTTATTTCAATACATTCCATCTTGCCCCTACACTGCACTCTTATCATAATACTAATAAAACTTTATAATCACCTGCGCAATTTGGCGCAGTCAGCAGGCTTAAAATCCACCTTCCTCCCCCCAACATCAAATCCAATATGCAAATTCTGCTGCGCCATATTCCCAAAAATCGCCGTCCCGTTCGTCCCCTGCATCGCCAAGCACACCAAGCCCTCCTCCGACGGCACCGTAAACGCATTCAACGGCCTCAACACCACCTCCGCCCCTCCGGCGAACTGAAACGTGATGTCCGGAAACACCTCCCTCCTCCTCCCCTCATAACACTTGAAAGTATTCCCCGCATCCATCTTCCATGGCAACCCCATCACCTCCCCAATCACATCCCCCATCTCCTCAAAAACTTCACTTTTAATAAGCGAAACCGTTGTCCCCGAATCAATGAACATGTTCCCTTCCCCTCCCTCCTTCCCCCTCACATCCAACTTCCTCCCTCCGATGCTTATCGCCTCCAATGTCACGAAATAGAATGTCTTGTCCTCCTTCTCCACCAGCGGGGTGGACACCACGTTGCGCCCTGAAACTACCGCTTTTGCCCCAAAGTTCATGAAACTGGTGGACGTGTTGTCCTGAAATGGCGATAAGCAGTAGGAGAATCTCTGGTTTGTGTCAGGAGTGAGTTTACTGATTTGAGAGGCGAGGGAGAAACTCATTCCTCCGAGACCGGCTAGGCCGAACAGCTCTCCGTCGAAGCTGGGGCTGTTGTTGTATCCACAGCCGAAGATCATATCCGGGATGGAGATTGGTTCGCCGTTAGTGGATTCGAAGGTGAGCGTTTCAGTGGAGAGGATTCCGGAGGAGAACGATCCGTCGCCATAGCAGTATTCGTAGGAACAGAATGGGGTTTCGGCGCTTGCGGTGGGATTGAAAAGTTTGCGTTTTTGGGACGTGGGGGGGAGGGATTGGAAGGAGGAAGAGAGAAATGGGTTAAAAAGATGAACTTTGCGGGTGAGGCAGTCGGAACAGGGGAGGCAACGGAGCCACGTGAGGTCGCTGCCGGTGTCCATGACAGCGAGGACTTGGACCGGGGGAGTTCCGATGGAGAATCGCATGAGGTGGGAGGCGTTGGGGGGGATGATTGGGGAGATGATAGTGGAAGGGGAGGAGAGAGTTTGGCTGCGTGATAACGCGTGAGAAGCCTTGGATAAGAGACGGCGGAGGTGGGGAATGGCGGAGAGGTTGGTGGTGGGCTGGAGGAGGGAATCCTTATGGATGAGTTCGATGGTGAAACCATACAATGGGGAGATGGAAGCAAACAGAGGTGGGAAGAGGAGGAGGAGGAGGAAGGAGAAAGAAAGGAGTTTGGGTGCCATGCTACAGGGAAGAAGATGCCAGCGGTTGTGATTATGAATGGTGGAGGTAGATGAGGGTAAGCGAAAGTTGATGAACAAATGTCATGATACATATATAGTAGCCGTTGGAAATTAAGGACTCATTCAAAATAATATTTTTCATAGATCAAATATCTAATAGAACATTTAAGAAATTAACTAGTATTGCTTTGTTATAAAAGGCCATTTTATTAATATTCACCTAATGCAATATTTATGAAACAATAATTGCTTTTAAATTCATTCTAAACTTGGCTTAGAATTTAAAATTGCTAAGTGGAGGTCGTTTATGTTGGCCATGACGCGATAGAAGCTGCAATAGGTGGCCAAATATGTCATATTTTTATGTCATAGACTTGACCAGATGTAAATTTTAAAAGAAAATTATAACTAAAACCTGTCAAAATAAATTTCATGGTCGCCAGACTTCTGATTTCAATAAGTTTATATCAAGTTTATTTCCTTGACATGATGGGTTTTAAACAATTATAAATGGAATGATTCAAAGTAAAATAAGACCAAACTAAATATTGAAGAATGATTAGAAAGTTCAACATATTATGCGAAAAGTGATATAATCGGACGTTATATTATTATAGTCGAATCCAGCATTTTGATAAGAGAGAATCCAATAAGTCAAGATCATCTAAGACAACAAAATGTGGAATAAACAAATTATGATTCGAAAATTAACATGGGTTTTTAGATGAAGGGCCCGTTTGAGGCGGTTTATAAGTGCGGGCGGCATTTTGAAAACGCCGCTGTCCTGTTTGGTTCGCACTTATGCACAGCTTATAGAAAACTGCGTTTTGAAATTTGTAAAAGACGCGGCCCGCGGGAGAACCTTCACGGGCCGCGTTTTTTATTGGATTATTTACTCCCGTGGCCTTCGTCGCCATTTCTCCTTCGCATTTCACTTTCAAAGAGCGGAATCGTCGCCGTTTGCCGAGTTTGCTTCGGCGTTCGTGGAGGCTTTGGTCGCCGAGTTCGCTTCGGCATTCTGGGTTGATGAGTTCGCCGCCATGGATCTCCTGGGCTGCCTCGACACCTTTTGGTGCTCCATACCCTTCTACATCGACGACTCCAACTGCAAGCTCCTCTCCCGTACATACACAAGAGTCGATCACAGCAGCCTCAAATCCCGTATGCTCAGCTCCTGCATCTCCAATGGCCTCCGTTTCCACCAATCTAGTGGTTGCTTATCAATTTTTTTTGGTTGAATTTATTATTGATGTTGTCAAAATAATAAGTAAAGATAGCTCAATCTGTGAGCAAACAGATGAAGTATATGTATTGTTGGATATTTTAAATTTATTTTCATTTGCACTTGAAGAAATCTATATCAGGAATTGCAAATGAATTATCTAAAATTTTACAAATCGACTACAACATCGTTAATGACATGTTTTTGGTTAAACTTTTTAAGCAAAATTTTCAAAATACAAGTGAAGATGGATGGTGTACATCAATCCAAGTTTAATTTTTGTGTGAAACTTGATATAGTTATTTCAAATAAAATTGAGATATATATAATACATAGGAGATCGAGTTGATGTACTCAAAAAATCATAAATTTTTATTATTTTTAAGTTAAGTTATTTTACCATGTTACCATGTAATAGATATACAATTTCAAGACCTCAATAAGAGACTGCAAGACGTTGTTTACAAAACGCACAAACCAAACAACTAAACAACTTATCCACAAAAGGGGCAGAATAATCATTTATCCATAATCAATTGTTTTCCAAACGCACAAACCAAACAGTCAGTCAGCTTGTTCGGATCAGTTGCTCATCAGCAGATTATCAGGATAAGCTGTTTATCAGCAGAAGCTGGATAAGCTGCAGCTGCCCCAAACATACCTGAAATGTCTTGAGGTTTTAGCCAATATAAATGACACGTACAAATTGAATATCACTTATCACATGATGGGGATTGAGATTTCGAATGAAAGAGTACTTGAAGCCTTAAAGACCTCTAGACCTACAAAATATCTAACACCAACAATTACCCAAAAAAGTTATCGTTGTTTAACCACCAATAATTGCTAATCATTTGTCAACTATATTCGCCTGATTACAACCAATAATTGATCCAAGCACAGTTTTCTAATTTTAATCATTTGATCACCATCACCTGACCATGGTCATCATTATATAATAGTTATTGCTGGATGGAGTCCAGTCCGGTTCGCCCGATCCCATCATCCCGCTCTGTCACAATCCGACTCCCGCTCTCGCTCACGATCGTGGAAAGTCGCGACTCCTGCTGTTAACGAACCACTCCCGCTTCCTCTATCGTTTCGCGAATCGAAGTCCCCCCACTCTCTTAAGTCGCGAATAGTAGCCTCCTCTCTTCCTCTTGAATGCGATCAACTGCACGACCCTATTTGTGTTCTTCTTCGAGTTTCTTTGGGATAGAGGAAGAGAAGTGCAAACAGTAGTCCATTGCGGCAAAAGGAAGAAGAAAGAAGAAAAAGAAGATTGTTCTCCCTTGGCTTCTTCTTGGTGGCTTGTGGCAGAAGAGAAATTGGGTTTATTTCTCTTGTGTGTTTATCTCTTCGGTGTATCTCGGTGTAGAGAGAGAAGAGTAGAGAAGTGAGAGAAAGAGTTCGCTCTTGTAAGTCGAGACAATCAATTGGTATAAATTCCTCAAGTAGTAAAATCCTCTGCGACTCCGTGGATGTAGGCAATTTGCCGAACCACGTAAATCTGTGTGTTTCGCTGTGTTACTATTTTCTGGTGTGAATTTTCTCGTTCTATTTTTTTGCTTCATCAAAGATCGTTCATCTATTATATTTTTACATATATTCCACAACAATTATTGTTCGACTGTTATCATCAGATTATCACCATTCAACAGTCATCATTTAGCCGCCATCATCTAACTGTTATCTTCATCCTGAATTACTTCCATAACAATTATAGAGCTATTACTAAGTGCATTATATCATATCTTCTCTAATGAAGTCAATAAGTAGATCCCTTTGTGTGCGCATATATCTATGATTTTTTTTTTTGAGGATTTTAACATAAATGTTTTGGCAAATTTTATATTTTACTCATTTATCTATTTATATTTGAAACTCTCTTAAAAAGCTAGATTGTAATACCTTATTATATTACCAAGAGTTTTCTAGCAATCAATATTGTCTTGTAGTATTCTCAACAAATAGATATAAATATAAATAGTGAGTTAAGAGAGTAATTTCCCTCTTCTTCTATGCCTCGTTTTTTCTTTCCTTATTGTTATTGTTATTGACGCACTTTCTATTTTGATTTATTTTCATATGAATAAAGAGTAATGTTGATCAAATATCTTATTTGATTTATATTGATGATATTTTCTTTTTTTGTCAAGGCTAATTCTCATTATATCTCTATTTTTTTAATATTCTTAATATTTTTAGTAAAGCCACAAATCTTCATGTTAATGTTTCCAAATTAGCCATTACTTTATCTAAATATGTGAATGTTATCACTCAATTGCACATTTGCAATATTTATTATTTCACTATTAAACATTTACCTTAGGATTATCTTGGTATTACTATAAAGCTTTCCAAATTTATTGTTGTATATATATATATATAGATATATATATATATAT